GAATTTTTCATATGCTCCTTGTATGCCATGTTTCTCCCATCTTACAAAGTTTTTCTTTTATCCAAGCTCATATCCCTATATTTATCTTTTAAAATTTCATCTCGTTTTTTTGTTCATTGCTCAAACTGTAAAGATATTTTTCCAGTTGAGATATAAATGACGTATAACATTGTGTAAGTGTAAAGTACAAGTGTTGGTTTGATACATTTATATATTGCAATATGATTGTAGCATTACCTACATTACCTAACACCTCCATCATGTCACATAATTATCATTTCTTCTGTGCGGTGAGAATATTTAAGGTCTAGTCTCTTAGCACCTTTGAAGTATATAATATGGTATTGTTAACTATAAGCACAATGCTATGATCTCTAGAACTTCCTCATGTTCTAACTGCAAGTTTGTACCCTTTGACCAGTATCTCCCCAGTTCCTCCACCACCAGCTCCTGAACCACTGTTTGTACAAGTTCTGCGTTTTTAGATTCCACATAAAAGTGGCAGCAAACAATATTTGTTTTTCTCTGTCTGCCTTATCTCACTTAGGATGTTGCTCTCAAGGTCCATCCATGTTGTTACAAGTGGCAAGATTTCCTTCTTTCTCATGGCTGGATAATATTTCATTTTATATACATATATACATATATGTGTGGAATATATATGAATGGAATATCATTATATTCTTTTTTACACACACACACACACACACACACACACACCCTACATCTTTATCCATCAATCCACTGACAAACACTTGGTTTGGTTTCTGTATCTTGGGTAGCATGAATAATGCAATTGCAGTTAACATGGAAGTTCAAGTATCTTTTCTATATCCTGTTTTTATGTTATTTGGACATATACCCAGAAGTGTGATTGCTGGATCAGATGGCAATTCTATTTTTAATTTTTTGAAGAACATCCGTACTTCAAAAACTTCCATAGTGCCTAAATCAATTTATATTCCCACCAAGAGTGCATGACTATTCCCTTTTCTCTGCATGCTCAATAATACTTGTTATTTCTTGACTTTTTGTTAATAGAGCATCTGACAGGTGTGAGGTGTTATCTCCTTGTGGTTTAGATTTGCATTTCCCTGATAATTAGTGATGTTAATAAGTATCTTTCCATGTACCTGCTGGCCATTTGAGTGTCTTCTTTGGGAAAATGCCTATTCAGTGCCTCTGTCTGTTTTGTTTTATTTTGTTTTGTTTTGTTTTACTGGATTTTGTTGTTGTTGTTGTTGTTGTTGAGACACGTGAGATCTTTATATATTTTGCAAAATAAGCCCTTTACCAGACACATGGTTGCAAATATTTTCTCCCATTCTGCAGGTTGCCTTTTCATTTTGGTGATGATTTCTGTAGCTATGCAGAAGTTTTTATAGTTGGATGTAGTCCCACTTGTTGATTTTTACTCTTGTTGTGCAAAGATGGTTTTGATGATTGTATGTGACCCTTGAAAAGGGAAAAAAGCAACATGGAGTGAAACAGTAATCAGGTGGAAATGAGATCAAACATCCTCCTTACTTCTTGGGAAGATACAAATAATGCCCCAAAACAACAAATAAGCCCTCCCTCATCACTACCTCAAATTTATGGTTTTACCTTGCTAATAAATTTACCGAAGCTTTGAGGGGGGGAAATGATGATCCTCAAGGATTAATTTTATTCATAAGAGCTTTCCCAACACCTCACTAGAGGAACTAAATGACATGTTTTCCAAGGTGGCCAGTGTGAGAAGAGCAGTCCGGTATGCCACTATACATGCTCCCAGCTCTGCTGTGTCCCTGGGTCGTGGGCCCTTCCAAGGCCACAGAGCTCAGAGTCTGAAGTCCTAATTTCATGCACAGGTATGTACTTCTCTGCACGGGAGAAACCAATTTCCCCTGCCTCATTCCGCTCTACCCTGAGAAATTAAATAGTTTCTTGACAGTCTGTCTCCCTAAGGAGTTTGACTGGAGGAAAGAAAAAGCTGGCCTCCACCTACTCAAAACTGTTTGAGTTTGAGTCCTTGGTTATGCACCCTTTTGCAAAACTTTTTTTTTTCCTTTTTTCCTTTATGACATTAACAAAATCTGTTTCTCTGAAAACTAGAATCACTTACCTCTAGAAAAGAAAACTAGAAGAGTTATGCAGATTTTCCTTCCTGTATTTACAGATAAACCCCAGTGAATTATCATGAGCCCCACTGCTTAGAGGGACACACAAGAAGTAGATGCAAGTAAGGATTCCAGTATGTGAATAGCCACTATTCCCCATGCCTGTTCGCTCAGAGGAAGGGCGGTCACTAAGTAGCTCTCTGGATAGCTTTTCCTCCCCTCTGTGTGTGTAATTCTCTGGACAGTGCAACTATGTAGCAAAATATAACAACAGACTGTTTTTCTTAAATATAGTTGTATGTCAGGCAGCCCAGGAGAAGTGTAGACTCCAAACACATTTGATATAATACCTTCTTTCTCATGGCTTGTATGCCATAAATATAAATACTGAACTGCTGGTATTCAGGGACACACAGAGATCAGTCAGAAAAACAGAGGCAACCTGCTCCAAATGGTATGGGTACTTACACAAGAGAAATCAGTGAGTAGTAGTTTTTGGTTTTGTTTTGTTTTGTTTTTAATTGACAGAAGGAAAATGTTTATGGCACAGCATACACAGTTACCTCAGAAAAAACATAAGGTTTTGCCTGTGATTTTTTTTTTCTAATGAGCCAAAGGATTTAAAAAACAGTGAAAAGTCCTGCAAATCTCATACAGTATTTGAACTCCTTTTCAATGGTTTTAAACCACAACATTGCATGCAGCATGGCATTTCTCTATGCATTTTCCAAAATCGGATAGTTAGCAGTGAGAAAATGAAGGTCTTCAATTCTCAAGAAGGTGATTGAATCATTCTGCAAATTTCCAGGATAAGATATAGATAAGGACCTCTGTCTGGTATAAAGTTTTTTGTATTTACGTATGTGTATTTACATATATGTGGGGGGTCGCTAAAGAAAAAATATAGATAAGTACAAAAGATAATCAAATAAATGCTCCTTTGTGCAATACTCCAATTAAAAAATATTAATATTTTATTATTGTTGCAAGTCTTTGTAAAAGAAATGATTAGATAAAGTTAAAAATCCCTTCTTTTCCAGTCACATTCCCATCATTATCCCCCAGAAGCATCCAAGGTCATGGATCAAGTTCATGTTTTTATCACTTTACTATACATATTATCTGGAAATTAATAAGAGATACTGTTTTGCATACTTATGAAGATTATGTTAATGATATAAGTTATATTTAATATTTTATAGCTATTTTTCCACTCAATGTTATTTTACGATCTCCTCTTTGAATCCTATATATGTTATTCATTTTTTTTTTAATTTTATTTTTTATAAACATATATTTTTTTTCCCCAGGGGTACAGGTCTGTGAATCGCCAGGTTTACACACTTCCCCACACTCATCATAGCACATACCCTCCCCAATGTCCATAATAACCCCATCCCCCCAACCCCCCTCCCCCCAGCAACCCTCAGTTTGTTTTGTGAGATTAAGAGTCACTTATGGTTTATCTCCCTCCCAATCCCATCTTGCTTCATTTACTCTTCTCCTACCCCCTTAACCCCCCAATGTTATTCATTTTAAGTGTTGTTTGTGTATCTCATCATATAATGAGATCCCCATTTTTATTCATTCCTGAAAAGAGGAAAATATGGATTGTTTTTCAGTTAAGTTATTAAAAATACTGTCATTAATGTCTCCTCATACATTAGTGTATGCATATGTGAAAGTTTCTCCAATGTATAAAAGAGTGAAATTTGTTAGCTACATTGTTATGTAGCCAATAGTATTCTTCAAAATGATGGTTGAGGGCTTTTTGTTTACCCACATCCTCTCTCAAAATTGGTGCCCTGTGACTTTTTAACTGGGGGAAATTGGTTATGGAATAGTTGTTTTATTCAAATTTTTCTGAGTACAAGTTTTGAGCATTTATTAATCTAACTTGGGGCATTTATATTTTCTCTTCTATAAACTGCCAGCCCATCTCCTTTGCCCACTTGTCTATTAGGTAATTTGCATTTTTCAGTTGTGATATGTTACTTCTGTCTTACAGATAATAATCCTTTGTGTCTTCTAGTCTGGTTTTCATTTTTCACTTTATTTTATTATTATTTAATAATATTTTCCTTCTTGACTTACTCTCATAAGAAATCCTTTTCCTTCCCTGAAACTGTAAAAGCATTTTTCTATATTTTCTTGCCAGAGTTTTAGAATTGTTTGTAACATCGACCCCTAATTTGTCTGAAGTTTATTTGTTTTTGTGTTACCGCTTAGAGGTGTAATTTTTTTCATGTATAAATCTAATTGTATCAACACCATGTGTTGAATTTTTTTCCTAAGTGATAATGAGGTGTCCTCTAACTTAAGCCATGATTGCATATATGCCTGAGTCTGTGTCTCAGTGCAATACAAATTCCTTCTACTGATCTATTTATGTATTCCCATGCCAATGACATACTGTCATAATTATTATTGTTTCATATTATTGATAAGATATCCCCACTTGTTCTTGTTTCCAGAAGTATCTTGTTTTATTTCTGTCCTTTTAATCCTCCACATAAACTTTAGAATCCCTTTATAGGTTTCCATGAATGATTCCATTAGAATTTTTATTGCAGTCATATTGAATTTATAGAATAATTTGGGACAATTAACATTTTGAAGATCTCCCATGTTCCCGCTTGAGAAAATGACCTATCTCTACCCGGGTTTATTTTGTGTTTTTGACAAAGTTTTATAATATTTTCCAAAAGTTGGAATGTTTTTAAGATAGTCTCCTAAAAATTTTTTCTTGAGAATTTTTCATTTGACTACTAGAGCTTATTCAGTTTCTTTTTTTTTTACCTTCATTTATCTCCCATCCCAATTAAACTGTGCTCCCTTCAGCAGAGGCAATGTATCTTTCTTTTAATTTTTTCATACCTTCTGTTTTCTCTTTTCTTTCAGCCAGTTGGGTCCGAAAGTAGCTGAAATGCGAAAAAGACAGCAGACACAAAATGAAGGAACACCTGCTGTGTCTCAAGGGCCCGGAAACCAGAGACCCAACAACACGTGTTGCTTCTGCTGGTGCTGTTGCTGTAGCTGCTCCTGGTATGTGGCTCTCTGGGTAGGACCCCACCCCTGCACTAGCGGGGAGACTAACTAGAATGAATTTGCAGCTTTGTTCTTGGGATCCTGGAAACTTCTCAGTCTGTCTCCCTTTCCTCCCTTACAAGTAGGAATTATTGGAAACCGTCCCTGGAAATAGAATATTTCCCCAGAATCTACATTTAAATTGAGATTAAGGCAAACAGTGAAAACTTATTTTTTAATCCTGTTTTTCTCCATCCACATTTCTTAAAGAGGTGGGTAAAAATAAGATTATGGTTAGAGACTTGTTTAACCCTAAACAAAATTCTCCAATGTTCCAGAAGGTACAAGAACATTAAGATAACATCTATTAGTCCTGTACATCATCATCGATGTTGTGTTTTAGCCATGTGCTGTTTCTCGGAATGCTGATCATTCTGTCACAGAGTCACAAACGGTGAATCAGAGTGGCATGCTCAGCCACGGACGCTTGATAGAGGACAGAGAAAGAAGTGCCACAAACCGTGTCCACAGGTCTGAAAGGCCAGGGGCTTTGACCGGTATGAAGGCCAAGTCAGTCAACTAAAATCTCCAGATTTTAAGAGCCAGAGAACCTGCTTTCCTTTGTGATTTTATCCCTGACAGGTTCTGTGACATCGTCCAGAGTTTTAAACTCTGCTTTTTGGCAAAATGATGAAGTTAGACAAGCTGACTCCTGTCTAGTACTAAATGTCCATGATTCAGGCGCCTCAGAAAACCTGCTCCAGTTCCAAATTCCCCAACTGCCTTCCAATAAGAAAATCAGCAAGACCAAGAGTCCTAAGATGAGATCTCCCAGGGGGATGCTAGACTTAATGGAACTTTCCATAAAACCATAAGTTTTGGAGTCCTTGAAGATCCAGTTCACAAGTAGATCTCCTGGACAAGTCCTGGTCTTCTGGATCTCCCTGACTTAGGTCAAAGCTTTGAAGAAAAGCCCAAATGCCTGAATCGTCTTCTTGTATATGATCTTTACACTCTTCCTGAGGTTATTGGTATGAGATGGTAGCATAATATTCTATCATTGTGGCCAATATAGAGGAGACTTGTTATGCTCTAGTGGTAACCTTGGTCTTGAACAAGCTCTGTTCCTTCTAGGAAACTTCATTTCCAGAAAACCATCAGACATTTTAGTAATTTGGAAGGTTTAGTTTTTATATATATCAAAATTGCCTCTCAGATGATGATTTTTTTGTTAAGGAAAGTCATAAGGGACTCTTTTTCTTTCCTTTGTAAGCCTTAACTATTTCAAATGGGGGAAATATGTCAATAAAATTGTATATATTTTTTTCACTTATCTCTGCTTAAGAGATCATCTACCTCTGGTCTGAATCCATGGAGTGAAGTGTAGCAACTTAATATGGTGGGTTGGAAGTCAGACTGCCTGAGCTCAAGTCTTGTCTTCATCATCACTGTCTGACTTTCAACAAGTTACTTAATGTCCTCAAATTCCTCATATGTCAAAATACAGTAATAAGAATTCCTACTTCATAAGGTTGTTGTAAATAATAAATGAAATAAAACACATACAAGCTGAAAACAGTGTCTGACACATAGTATGCATTTAAGAATTAGGTCACTGGGGGACACCTGGGTGGCACGGTCGGTTAAGTGTCCTACTCTTGATTTCAGCTCAGGTCGTGATCTCAGGGTCATGAGACTGAGCCCTGCATCAGGCTCTGCGCTCAGCATAGAGTCCACTTGGACTCTATCCCTGTCTCTCTGCACCCCCACCCTGCACCCCTTCCTTCCCATGCTCGCTCTCGCTCTCTCTCTCTTGCTCTCTCTTGCATTAGCTCACTGGGTTATAGAACACTTCATATTGGAAAAAATATAATCTCCTTAAAGAGGAGCTGGCTTGAAATTATATATATATATGTGTATATATATATATATATGTGTGTGTGTGTGTGTGTGTGTGTGTGTGTGTGTGTGTTTTGAAAGATCTGCTTAGGGATATAATATAAAAACTAATCTTAGGAAAGCTATTTTATTTTAGATTTTTTTGTAAGACATCGCAAATATATTGTTACACAGTGTTGAAGATTATATTTCTATTTCTCATTTGCATTATGCCATGTTCCAGAAATCAGTATATGATTTTATTTACCTGCCAAAATTTATTTCTGAATTGCTTCAGGATTATAACACCAGAACAGATAAGAGTATTGAAGTTTTGTTGCACTACATTCATTTGCTGTCAAACAGCTATTTGGTGAATTTTGTTGTTGTTGTTGCTTTTTCCTCTCCTACATATATTTAGTGAGATCTGCTTTTATAAAGTGTACACTGAATAACAAAACATTCAACATGAGCTCATGAGCATCAACCAGTCACGGAACACAGACTATGGATGAAACACAAATGCAGCTTTTGGAAGCTGCATTAACTCTCTATACCTCTAAAGTGACACCAGTTTGAGCTCAAACATTTGGTGCATTGGATGAGGGCTCTGCTAGATTCAAGTGTCATTGTCAAGAACTGTGTTTATTAGCAATGATTCATGGATGCCTGAGTCTAAGCCATAAAACACACAGTCTATAAACTTATAAGTCTTCCATAAATGATAAATCATAGGTAATTTCAAATATTAACAACTTGAAAAAAATGAAAGTTCAGTTGCCTTAAGTATGAATTCTAATTGTGATATCTCATTGCAAATGAGAATCTCAATACATGCACTTTGAAAATATCATTGTTTTTATATTTTGAGTTTAAGAAAAATATTTTAAAGCCTTATGAGAGTGGAAAAACAAAAGAAATAAATGTTCTTCAAATTTTCCAGACTGGGTCAGAGGAGCAGAACGGAAAGAAACACTAAAAAATGTTAATTTGGGGACCAAAATAAAACTAGAAATCAAAATATGAAGTCACTGTCACTTGTGAAAATGAACAGTTGTCACGTAGCTGATTTCTCCTCCTTTTAAGGAAATAGAATGCTGAGAAAGTAAATTTCTATATCTAATAATAAATACAAGTGCCTCACCCTCGCCTCGCATGTTATAGGTTTTTTCAGCAACATAGTATTTCCCTCAAATTTACATTTCACTTTCATATTTCAGCATCAGCTCTTCTCCCATACATATTTAAACTTATTCCTGTCTTAATAAAATTACCACTGTGCTTTTTTCGGAGGGGGGGGATACAGAGATTATAAAACTGCTAAATATTTCCACGGTTTCCTTCCAACATCTTTATCCATAATGACTTGTTAAGCCCATCTGTTCTCTGTCCCTTTCAAGGAACCACTTCTGTCCCCAAATCAGTCTCTTTCCTTTCTCTCCCTACAGTCTTCCATTTCAACAGGAGAAAACAAGGGAATGTGGTTTAGAGCATGTGAGCTGTGTAACAGAAATGAATCACAGAGGTCTGAGTTTGGGCCATAAAACGAACCATGTATAAATCTGCAAGTCCTTCTGTACATGGGACTAAGCTGTTCCTGATCAGGAGGACAGAGAATTTTGTCAAGACAACTTGTCTATAGGTTCAGCGTTGCCACTATGAAAATGTAATATCCCTTTGAATTCAAGATTCAAACAGAGGTAGTTAACTCACTTCTCTTTTCTTGATGAGAATGAAATTCTTGAACTATGTGGGCTCTCCACCAAACTCCATCTCCAAGATAGTAGGGGGCAGTGAGGCCATTCATACATGCTCACTTGAAATGACACAGGGGATGGGCCATTGCAAAGTAGAAACTGCTGTGGGCTCCCGACAGCAAGGTGCCTCAAGAAGGAGATGGAAAGGTAGAGATTTCAAGATTTATGTCAAGCTTAGAGCTAGTTCCCAAATTGTCCCCCAAACCCTCTTCTAATACAGAGTTTATGTTAAAATAACCCAGATTGTTTTCTTTCTCAAAGAAGTCTCTAGATGCTAATCCATCCCTGTTTTAATTCCTTGTTGCTCCTGGTAGTGTCCTATCAAGCAAGACAGAGTTCCATGTTCAACCATAAAAAATTAGAACTCAAGAGACTTCAGTTCTCATCTCTCCAAAATGTTCCTATTGACAGGACAGATCTGACTAAGTAAAGGTTCAGCACTTCATAAACATGCTTTCAGCTGCCCCCTCCCTCCATTCTTAACAAGTACCCCAGTTTTGGTAATGCAAAACAGTGCAAAAATCATGTCCTGTTTTATCCTCTGATGCTGTCACACTTTAGCTATCTGCCAGTGAAAATACTATGATGCATGCTTTAAACGCCAGAGGTTATTTTTCAAAAGGGAAAACAAAAGCCATGTCTGCTCCATGGTGAAGAAACCAGCCCCTGGAAATAAATCTGCTACCACACGCAAGGTGAATCATTATTTTTTTTAAAGATTTTATTTATTTATTTGACAGAAAGACACAGCGAGAGAGGGAACAGAAGCAGGGGGAGTGGGAGAGGAAGAAGCAGGCTTCCTGCAAGGAGCCTGATGCAGAATTTGAACCCAGGACCCTGGGATCATGACCTGAGCCAAAGGCAGATGCTTAATGATTGGGCCACCCAGGCGCCCCAAGGAGGCACTGGTGATAAACACTTTATCTGTCACGCTCAGAGGCTTGACCATCTCACACGAGAGAGGGTAAGTTACATGCCTAGGACTTCCGAAGTCCTTGTAAACAGATCCTCATAGGTATCTCTCACAAACAAGTCTGTGGTTTCGAAGCTCACCTCAACATGGCATAGGTGAATTTCCTCAATAGTTTCTATGACTTACGTAAACCTAAAACTCAGACAATCAAAATTCATCTACTAAAACGAACCCTTGTTTCCCAGGTCATAGCCACAAGATTAGAAAGTGGACATGAGGACCATGGACCTTCTGTAAAGCCACACGTTTGTTAATTCTCTCATTTACAGTTTACTGAATGCCCCCTATTGCCTGGTACAGTTGTACTTCGTCAGCTTTCACCAGATTCCCCCTGCCTCTGCATTGACTGAATAAATTCTCAATAAGCAGTTGAATCCAGAGAGGACACCCTCTAGAAAGCTTGGTATTTA